AAAAAATTTGAGTATACATCCGATCTTACATGAAGATGTTTCATGTATATATTTATTTATATGTTTTCTTAATACGTATTCTGTTTATAGGATTTATTTATCGGGAGTATATATCACAGTAAACACACAAAAGAAAAAGATAATTACACTAGCGTTCATTGTAATCATTCTGAGCCAGCATTTCGGCCATCAAGGATTACTGAAGCCAATGCTAATGAAGCATTTGTTTCAACTACTTGATTTGAGGGTACTCCCGTAGTGTGTATTAAGGAATAATTTTATTCCGATTTTCCTTATTTTAGTTCTATTACGAGTTCGGGGAATGTTTGTGTTAGCCAAGTGAATATACCCCCTGCCCATAAGTTTGAGTCCTTTTACACAACTTGATGTAAAGTAGGCGAACAAAATTGGTCACCTCCATGTTGGTACACATACTTGTGGAGCGCCGCCAATGAAGCATTTGCTTTAACTATTTGGTTTAAGTATACTTGTGTTATACCTTGGCCCTGATTCACCTTTTGCTCAGTTATAGTTGGTTTTGGCCTGAGTAATAGTGAGGATCAGAAAACCAGAAAGTTTATTTATACAAACGTGAGGAATCAACGTTCGTGACCCCTGATACGTGAAGCTCATTTTAGTCGGGCGTCTGTCTCTGCTTGTATTTTTTTAGTAATATCCGAGATTACTATAGAGCTTGAAGTATATAGCAAATAATATTGGTCTTGACATTTTGAAGTAGTGTCGGATGTTCATAAAAAATACCAGATGAACCAGTTATAGTAATATGGCGTGGACACATTTTATAGACGTTTCATACATGGCGAGGCAGAAAACCTTCTACATTTTAAAATTAAAAATGAACGTGAAAAGTTTTTTTTGCTCCACCATGTTCTTTCAATCCAAACAAGTTCCTGTACAAGCACCAAACAGTCACAGACACGTAATGAGTTATTGTTATACATCAAATTCAGTACCAATGCACGTTGTATGTGTACCAGGTTAGGGTTAGGTCATCATTTTATTCCGATTTTCCTTATTTTAATTCTATTATAAATTCGAGCCTGTCTGTGTTAGCCAAGTGAATACACCCCCTGATCATAGGTTTCAGTCCCTTTACACAACTTGATTTAAAGTAAGCGAACAGAATTAGTTACCTCCACATTGGTACACACACTTATGAAGAGACGCAAAATCTTTCCGGCTTGACATTGCCTAAACAAGTTGACTATCAACTGGCGCTCATATCAAATTTTGAACTAAGTATTTCTGAAATAAGAAGGCTTCAACTCAGTTGAAATGACAATACAATGTCAAGCATGGATAATAAAATGATCGAATTTTGAGTTGAAATTGAGCGTGAAATATGTAATTTTAATAATTTTCAATCTCGAAACTTCGAGAGGGGGAAATATATTGCATTCATACAGCTAAATGTTGAAATCACATCAAAAAACGTGTAGCGTTACATTGTTACAACATTATTTTATTTTGAACTGAAACTTCGCGTGCGAATCATACGGAATCAACAAATCCATTGTAAATACAAAAACAAAAGAAAACCGAACCTTAAGTAAGCGTTGAAAGGTTCCCGCCTCTCATAATGACGAAATAGTAAAGTAAATTTTCAAATTAAAAAGTTAATTGTAGTAATCGAAAATAGTAAATATTGAATAATTTTTCAATGTTGTTTTAACAAATCTTTTAGCCTACAAACATAGTTATATGTTACAATCACGTATTTAGAGACTCAGAAAAGATTCAAAAGATCTGCCCCAGCTCTGCTTCTGACTTCTTGATTCTGATTTTTACTTCCAACTCGGTATAAACAAAGTTTTGATCACGAAAGCTTATAGGCCTGTGTTTTTCAATCTTTTCGGCGAAGCGGAACACTAGTGAAACATTCCTGGAGTTCGAATAACCCCTGTGCATTAGCTTACTTGTCTTTTATTGTTTGAATTGTATAACTTATGAAAAAATATTATAGGAAATGTAATACTGACAAATTAAAAAGATTTTAAATGTACAGAAAATGAATAATAGAGGTATTTGGTTATATATAACACAATATTTAGGATGTCCATAAAGTCTCTTTACAATTTAAAATAACTTAATACAAAGTGAAATGATGAGATATTAAAATGAGGATTGTTTTATCTTAATCGATATTTGATAAAGTTTTCATTGACACATTCAATACACTTCTAAACGTTTAAATGAAAATATCATTACGTTATATAATACACTTCTATATGGGCACCATTAGTTGAACGAAGAATATCCAGACGGAACTCTATTTCCTGTCATGTTCGTTGTAGCATAGCCTCATCAATCGTTACAATGTCATTGGTAAGCCTTTGTTTCATGTGAATATAGACTTTCGGATTTGAAAGTGAATTTACATAACCCCTGTTCTTTACTGAGGGGAACCTTAGGGTAGCGCGGAACCTCATTTGGAAAACTTCAGAATCCGACTACTATTTCGCTACACTAATTATAATGATGGTACACGATGCAAGAGGCCTATGTATATGATTGAAGATAATTGCATTTAAAAAAATATTCATAAATACTCATTTCAAAATTTATGTTTTTATCACCCATGATTAGTATGAGGCTAACAGACGTTTCGGACCTGAAGATAAATGTATCTCCGAACTCGAACCTGCTTGGGCCGTTTGGTTCGAATCGTCTGTATATCTTTGTATACACCGGCTGGCGTTTACGAATAGAGCGATGTACATAGATTGCACCAAATTGCGCAAAAACCTACTGAGTACTACGACGTGCAAAAATTAACTGAAACGACTTAAACCTACCAGAAACTTGCTAAAACGAGCCAAAAGGTATAAAAACTTTCCTGTTAATGTACATATTCTTTGGAACATATAGTCAGTACTCAGCGTTAGAATGTGTTACATCCGAAGTATGGGAACAAAGATGGCGGACATCGGAATGTAGTATGTGTACCAGGTTATAGGGTTTGGCTATAATTTTAGGTACAGACACTACGGGAGTCATTTGGCTAGTCCCCGAACTTGTAAAAGAACTAAAATGGAGTATTTATTCATTGGCTTCTGCATAAACTGCATCTATAATAATATTTACCAGGTAATATTCAGAGTGAGGGTGTGAAAAATTAAGTAAACATTGATGAACCGGAAAGAGCTTGCAAAAATAGTATCTTTTTAAGTTTCAGCATTTTCCTATTCAGAGCCTCGTTTAGATTAAAAAATGAAAACGGTCGTATTGCAGGATATGATTAGCACAAACCTTAGCACACAAAAACAAATTTTACGGTCTTGCCAGTCTATTGTAAATACCCATTGTCAAAAAATATGAGCAAATTATGACAATAAAAAGGGAATAGCAGAGGAATTTTGCCACGTATGAAAACACTATTAATTTTAAGTGTATTTTAACTAATATTTCAGTGTATAACATGACCTTGTGGGGAAGAATTATCTTAAAGACTTCTAAGTTCGAACGACGCATATTCACGCTTTTGCTCCGACTCCGAACAAGGCCTTTTACGAGCAGCAGCCACTAACGATGTGTAGGGGGATACTATTTTTGAAAGAAACGAAATCTTTACGGGTCCACTCGATATATTGAAAAAAAAAAATTAATAGATAAGTTGAACCATATTTCAGAAACAAGAGATGGTTGCCATACAGGGTAGTAAAAATTCCGGCGCTCCGGAAGTGTATATACATACCAATATAGAGGTAAATAATTTTGTTCGCCTACTCCACATCACGTTGTGTAAAGGGACTGGAACCTATGGGCAGGGGGATATTCACTTGGCTAATACAGACAGTACTCGAGCTCGTAATAGTACTAAAATAAGGAAAATCGGAATAGAATTATACCCTAACCCTGACCTGGTACACACACTACTGGAGTACCAAAATCTTCTGCATAATTACGACGAAAATTACGGAATACTGTGCAATTACATTAATTTAACCGTAATGTTTAGTAATAAATCCATATGCGGGCTGTGACATAATTTGCGAGGACCCGGGCTGAGAAAAACATTTATCTAGCGAGAGAATTCATGTAAAACACACATACCACACAAAAGAGTCTATTTATTTTATTGGAACGAAATTTTTTATATTTGTCCGCCCAGATTTAATAGATATAGACTATTGTTTCCCTTGTACGCTATGTTTGCAGTCATCATTCAGCTATAGTGATCATTTTCCCCATTTTTGCCGTTTTGTATGAATAATGTGTTCAAGTATCATGGGGTAATTAGTGAATCATTCGTTAGTAAACGATTTTTGTGTTGAAATGATAATGTGTTTCGTAATCGCAGTTACAAAAGAGTGTTATGATTAATACTTCTATAATTTTTGAAACAAAATTCACAGGGTTTAGACGAATAACGTTTATGATTCAGAGGAGAATACAGAGTCATACGAACGGTGTGGAATGTATGGGGATTTACAGACTTAAATTTTGCAAAGAGTTTAAAAATCGGCTCCGGAATTTGCTAGCTCAATTGATCCAATTAAAAAGCATGTTCAATACGAGTGTGAGACACAAAAAAATGTATAAATATATCAATTCATGTGGCAACTTCAAATTATACTGCTGCAATTTTATTTGCCATATTTTTTTGGAAAAAAGTTAACATGAAAAAATTCCTAAGATATTTCATTACCGGGTTCCCAGTAGTAATATGATATCAAAGGAAGACACACAAAAAAACGTTCAAAAAATATATCAGTTTATTTGGCAACTTTGAATTATACTGTTGCAATCGTAAATTTCATTACAAAAATTCAAAGTCGACTTCCAAAAAAAACTCAGAGATAATTTAATACGAAATTATTATCAAACCATCACCTGTTGATATTATTCATTCAAAAACCTTCAACTAACTCAAGATTGAACAAAACATTTATGAAAGTCACCAATTTTCAAAAACTCCCTTCATGCAAATTACTCGTCCATCCGCTGCTACAAATCACTAATCCAAACTAAACCCTTACCTGGTAAACTCTTCGCGTATTCGACCAATACTTGCACGTGTACTGTTGTGATGTCTGATAGTCTGCACGTGGTTTTGGATTCTTTATTTATATACTTTTCCTGTCATGAAATAATTATTAGTTGCATCATAATTGTGCAAAAATCAATGAATTTTAGTGAATATTTATATGCTGGCTATGGAGTCTTAATATTTTTAAAATTACAAAGGGAATTCATTGATAACATATATAGTTTTGGTCCTCACAGATGTATTTAATGAGGTGAAAATATTTATGTTAATTACTGATTTGAAAACAACAAACTTGGTTAAGATTTATATCACGATTTGACTTCATAACAGAATTTAAATTAAAAGGGACTTTGTAGACACCCTGTTTATATATGACTCAATATTATCCATACAATTTGGTCCATTTGGTCACAGACTGAGATTCATAGTTGTCTCACGACTAAAAACGAAATTTTTTTTGTTTTGTTCGAATTTTTTTTAACCTTCCTCCCCTTACTCAATTTAGAGATAGCATATCCAAAACTAATTTGCTATCCTTCTTGGAGCTAAAATTTTATTCTGAAAGCCAACTATGATAGCCTGCAAGTTCTTGTTTGATGATAACACATAACGTGGAGAAGTTTATGGCTAGAAAATAATATATAAAAACAAGCCGGTAGGCGCCCAGGATTTCTGCTGATAGTTGAGGCCCGCAATCAAGCAATCGGTTCCATTTCATCCATACTGGTACTGCCATTCAGACGCTAAAGCGAGACACATATACAGACAGACAGACAGACACACAAACAGATAGACAGAACGACTGGGAATAAACGTCTCCTTGGGCGGAGATCTAATAATTCAAAGGTTGAAGCCAAATAAAATCTGCACTTACCCATCTCTTGACAATATCGGGGTTGATTTTATAATGTTTGAAAGCTTCTGAAACCGTTTCGATTAATTTAGTTTCTTCGTCAGTCAAGGTGAGAGAAACCTGGAGTAAATGAGCATTTTTTATTGTCGATGCAAGGAAAAGAAGTTTGCGTTCATATCTTTTTTAAATATTATAGAATTGGTATAATAAATGGTTTGACGATTTGAACAGTTCCGACTAGGAATGGATATATGTTGCCAAATGCCATTCGAATAGTCCCCTCTGTAGAGGTTAAATTGGGCTGTTATAAATACAGGAAAAATGATGGATATATAGTCCGGATCATCATTTTAATGGTCCTCTCTGTAGGGTAGCTGCAATACTTGACAGTAATTTTCAATTTTAAGCCAGCTTCATAAGATGTGTATGGCAAATCAAATGCAATTGCAACTTGTTCTTTTAATGTGTTTAAATGTCTCACGACTAAGTGAAAATTGTGTCAAGACGTGTCATAGGTTGTGAAAAAAAATGGTATTAATTAAATCTGGATAATCACAATGTACCGTAATTGCCCAACTATCAACTAATTATATTATAATGCATCGCTTCGTACAAAAACCAGCACCCCGAATAGCTCTAATTATTCATATTATATAATAAAAGCCAGGTATTTCAATGAATCCTAATTAGAGTAATTCGAGACATAACATTTTCGGCGCTCCAGAAGTGTGTGTACCAATATGGCAATACTAATTTTGTTCGCCTACTCTACATCAAGTTTTGTAAAGGGACTGGAACCTATGGGTATGGAGAATATCCACTTTGCTAACACAGACAGTCCCCGAACTCGTAATAGAACTAAAACATGGAAAATCGGAATAAAATTATGCCCTAACTCTAATCTGGTACACACACTATGGGAGTACCGTTCTTTGATTATGCTTCTATGTATGATACTTCTGATGAAAATTGAATGAATTCAATTCCAGGATGAAACTCACCCCATTGTCACCATTTTGTGAGCTATCTGATCCCCATGGTGATGATGCTACGGATGACTGACCACCAGGTGATGTAACACTTGTGCTTTGTGACGTTTCATCTTGTTGCTTGACCTCATCGTTTTGCTCTTGTTTTTGCTTCCGCCTTCGTCGTTTTGATTGACATTGTATTTCAGTAAGAAGACCTGTGAAACATTATTCATGAAAAATTACATTTCTATAAACTGTGAAATACGTTTCGATCAATCAATTTCGCCGATTTTTTAGAGAAATATTCAATATACATAATAGTATATATTACTGCACTTGATTGGCTTTGTAATTGAGAAATTAGGCAATATTATGAGTTACTGTTCACAGCTTACTCAACGCACGAAGCTGTCGATTAAAGCAGTCAGCGCTTTGCACGTACCCGAATGCCCACATTATTTGAAACATGCCTGCTATCTTTGCCTTCTGCACGAATTTATTTAATAACTGTGTTTTTAAAATAGTATTCTATCTTGCGTTCTCAGAGTATAAATTAATCGCAGACAAAATGATGCGTAAGTTTTTCCTCGTAAATTATTGAGTTTGCTATATACCGAACGACTTTAAAATATCGTTCCCGGTTAAAATTAGTACTGTTCATTCATCCTAATCTGCATTACGTAACGAATTATTTAGTCCAAGACCTGTATACACAACATTCATTCCGCTTTCAAGTTTTGCAAACAAATGAGAATTTGTGCATCTAACAGAAGCGAATGGGTTGGTTGTCCAACTGAACATCGACTGCATTAACAGAGTGTATACAGAAGCCAATGAATAAATACTGGAGCATGTTGTTGCGTGGAAGAGAATAATGAAGCAAGCGCGTTGTTTAATTTCCCGCACCACCACAATGATTAGCATAAACGCTCGCTCTATAGTCTACAAACTCGATTCGAAATCATACTTACCTGACGAGGCAGTCAACCGCGATCAAGCAGGCAGTTCTGCCTAGGCGAGGCCTAGCCATTGCACTTCGGCCGGGCTGACCCTAGCGATTATCCCAAATGTGGATAACTCGGTCGTGTAATTTCTGTTAGTGGGGACTGCGTTCGCGCTATCCCCTTCCAATAATTCATGTTAGGTGATATAAGTGCGGAGCGCGATGATTGAGGCATCACGACCGATTCCTAGCACAGGAATATATAGATAGCATCACGGGAAATATCCAACGGGCGCTGGGATAAAACTAGTTGTATCAGTAAATAAAATATATATTCGTACTGACATAGCGAGGTTTCAAATATTATTTTTACACAAATTACTTGCCACGAAAGCTCAATTTCTACCTACAATTGCAAGACTTAGTTCATTATATCTTGGATCCGAGTTCGGTACCAAACTTTTTTAATAATAGTGATGTAGTTATAGTTATGTAGAATTCATTCCCATTTAACCGTGTTCCTGATTATAAAGACGTTAACTGATTTGAGGTTTAAGGTAAACTGGCGAGTAATCATGGCCATAATATTCCATAGTTCCGTAGCTATTTGAGTGACGACGATCGCCCGTGGCATTGCTCAGAGATGTGTCTAATATACTTTTGGGTGAATGTGTACGGTCATGCTTGGAGCAAACTCTCGCAATAAGATCTCGGAATAAAAAAAACGCGCAGTTTCGTTGTCACTAATCAAAATAAATTTTGTCTACTATATTAGGTATTTATAGGGCTCTTACATTCTTCAAGCATTCCGACTTCTTTACATTTCTTTAATCGACAATGAGGACATTTTCTTCTTGTGTATGTGTCCATCTCACAGTTACCCCCTTGTTTACACCTGAAATAATAAAGTTGCTTTGAGCAGGGCGATGATACAATATGAAATGTACTTTTAGGATTTGAAATTTGACCCCATTTCTTATCATTAGTGCATTAAAGTGCATTATACGTCACTGACCATATCTTAGAAATTTAACTTAAAGAATTGATTTAATAATTTGGTTTACAATGAGATGCAGACACTGAAAACACTCGTTGAAAATAATTAATTTAAAAATAAATAACTGACGAATGCAAAGTCGATTTTTAAATTTCGGTTATTTCAGTTGAAATGAATTTCTAGATAGAGAATTCCAAATATATTCTCTCGTTATTTAAGTTGATAAATCATATAAATAATATAATCACTATGTTTACAAGCTGTGAAAAAGTAATCATAAAGTATTTATAGCAGTATAGCGTAAACAGCTCAATTTGATTCGTATATATGCGTTATGAGGAAGAGTTTAGGTAATCGTGTATCAGTATGGATTCCTTTGTTTATATCTCGTCATTATTACATTATTGTTTTTCACGTTGTAATCACTGATTATCGTCAAGTCGTCATCGTCGTCAATTATCGTCCTATCGTCGTATCGATCTGTCTTTCTAGCTGTTACGAGTATTAAACGGTGTTGCGATTAGGTTTGACTATACCTTGTTGTTAACAAATTATGTTCTTGTGTTTAGGTTACGAATTTAAGATGTGTTTTTAGTTTCTCAAAACCAAATTTTTGGTTGTTATAAATAAACTCTCATTCAGAATATCTTCATTCTGATGTGTCAGTAGGCGTATGGGAATGCGTTGTTGATGAATTGCTATTGAAGAAGTTTGTGGTGCAGAGTGTCTGAACAAAGTTTCGTGCGTTTGAAGGAATGTGATATGGTTTGTAAACCTTGGCAGAAATATTTCGTCAATGCAAGATGATGACGTCAGTTGCATTTTTGGATTTGAAAGTATTGCTTTAACATGACAAATTGCACGAATTCAAAACGCTTTCATATTTATAAAATGTTATGGTATTCAAAGACTTCATCATGCGTCATACATTCCTAAATTAGGAATCACGTAACCGAGGTGAAGGCGAATCTTGATTCAACCTCACCCTATTACATATCCCATAGGGCCTAAAAAAACCAAGCACTCCACAATTAAAAACTTATTTGTTTGAATTTTTTTAAAAAATGAATTACAGCTACAAAATGAACAATTTTCACGGATTCAAAACATTTCGTTCTCATATTGACATATTAAAACACATTTCGCTTCTTTATCGTATTTTATCACGCAAATAAGCGATGTCCATAAAAGAATCTTGCTTTGAGATCGCACCCACTTCACTCCCCATTGGCCTACCCTTAAAAATGAAGGAATACGTCTGTCAGGCAACATCAAGTGACCGATTATATAGTCAGGGAGTACATGGATGAGCGAGGGCCATACATGCGCCTTCTTTGATTTAACCTGACCATGTCCAGAAAATCAAAAACCCTTTAATTAGTAACTTTCAAAAATTTAAAATACAGTACTGCTACAAAATGGACAATTTTCACATATTCAAAACATTTCGTTTTCATATTAAAAACACATTTCGCTTTTTTATCATATTTTTTCAAGCTAGCGAGCAAGGGACATAGAGAAAACTTGCTATAAAACGCACCCTACTCACAAATCATGATCGACCGAACGTGACAAAAAAAACCCTACAATTGATTTGTGTCAACAAAAGTTTAATATGAAAGCCAGGAAGTAATATGTCGGTCAAAAGTAATTGAGATTATTTGCTCCTATTTTATGTGCGGAGAATTGCTGTTGAACAATGCTCGATACTATATCGACTAGCGCGTTTGATATTTATTGTAATGTATTGCTAGGGGCCGAGGTGAAAAACTTGAAATATTGCTTTCAGAAAGAGCTAAATATAACTCATATTTGAAGCAATATTTCAAAAACTTCAAGTTCAAAGGTTTGATTTCGACAAATGAAATGATCTATGAAATGATTGCTCTTTCTGTAAAAACTTTACCCCCATGTGAACCCGATTGTTTTTTTTACAAAGAAAACAAATTTTTGTCAACATGTATAAAACATAGATTTGTTGCTCTGCCACCAATGCGTGTCCGTGCCATTTTACCTAGAAGTCTAGACGTCCTCCAATATCGGCGTATGCCGTCATTTAATGACATTTTCAAAGCCCCATTGGGCTGATATGTAGACTTCAATGGAAGTTGGCAGATTCTCAACAATAATATGATTGCGTTTACGGAAGTGTTTCGACTTTAGAAAATATCCATAAAATGGCACGAACGGCTATAGCCGGGTGCTATGTGGTAGAATTTTAGATTTTAGGGATTTATTTGATCACATACATGGACATAAATTCAAAATGCATTGCGCGGCGAAAGCACGATGAAATTTTCACATCAATTCAATTCAATTTTGAAATATAAAAATTTTATTTGTGAATTTGTTGTTCCGGCTGCGAAACCAAACATTAGAGAACCACCGCCCTTTGAAAGAATATTCAAATAAAATTTACATGTTTTGAAACCGTGGAAATGCTGCAATTATGTAATTTTAAAACATACACTTATACAGAAAAGATTAGTCTGGAAGACGGAAATCTATTAATAGGGATTAATGTATAAAATGTTTTGATGTTTATGAATGAATCAAACTTCTTATGACGTCATAGACAGTTATGTTTTATCAAAGTATGGAAATATGTTGAACATATTTATGTAAACTATATTACATGATGTTTTATCTTTGATGACGTACTTCTAAAACATAAAAACATGAGTTGTAATACACAGTGGAAAATGTTGTCGAAATCATTTCTATTTTAGTGTCATTGGGTGTTCGGGCGGGAATTTCATTGAGTATAAGTTTTAAATGCTCGTTTTGTCAACTGCTCTAATAAATAAAAGAAGTAACATTTTAAGTGAGAAATAATGACAAAAATACTGACTTGATTTCTAAACATGCAAAAAATGTTATTCAAGATTAATTGACGAAAATCTGCCCTTGAAATGATAAAACAACAAAATCAAAATCTTAAAAAAATCATACTTTAAATTACCTATCACTGTATCTGATTTTTTTGTTCATTTTCAACCAAATATGTATTGCGAGCAAAATTTATAAACGTATCCACTTAGGTAATATTGAACCCCATAGTTCAAGTTGTGGCAGTTTATTTATTATACCATAAATTATGGCTTTAAGAAACTAAAAACACATATTAACGCAAACACAAGGACATGGTAAGTATAGCCAAACTCACCAGACCACCGTTTAATACTCGCAACAGCTAGTAACAGATGTAGAGAGTGGGGATGCAGTCCATTGTCGCTTGACGATAATCAGTGATTACAACGCAAAGAACAATAATGTAATAATGACGGAATATAAACAAGGATCATAAATTCTAGCACACTGCAACAGTAATAACTGAACTTAATCCTCATAACAGTCCGTATATAGTACTATAGCATTGTTTACCACCGATTATTACATTCACGGAACAGTAGGTATATATGTACAAAACAGTTGATTAAACTTAGTACGAGATTAATCAATCTTGTGTATAAATAGATCGACCCCCAAAGAGCTAACCAAGTAATTTAAAGTTTCCACGGATTTTATGAGACCTCATTGGCTATTTATAACATAGTAGCATAGAAATACAACAACCGTAGGCCTTACGCGCATCGGTCGTTGTTTATTGAAAGACTCTAAAAATATCTCATTAAAATTTTAATTACGATGGAGATAAACAACGTGATATCGCACGATTTTGATTATTTGTAATTGTGGGAGACTATTTCTCAACTTTAGTATAACCTATTTCAAACACAGGAATAAAAGTGCTGATAAATAAAAGATTCTTTCCTTCTAAAACAATTTGTACCAAATGTGTAAGATGAAAGCTTGTAAAAAGCGCATTTTGAACAAATATACATCACAAAGAGCAGAAAATTACAAGGCCTTAATTTATAGACGTTTTTGCCGGGTTATTTCCGAAATTTATTTTTCAAAATCTCCCATGAAAACCCGAGGGTTCAGAACAAGTGTGCCCTAAACATACCAGTAAATTACAGGATTTAAATTATCATATTTGTGCGAGAAATTCTAGGAATTTACTTGTCTAAATTTTGCATGAAAACTTAAATTTAGTCCTAATTTTAGAATTTTATTTGGGTTGTTCCCAGAATTCACTTTTCCAATTTCCCCGTCAAAACCATCAACTTACCCTTGTTTATATGAAGTTTTATTTGTGATCGATCTTCGGAAAAATCCTTTACATCCTTCACATGTTAACGCATTGTAGTGATAACCAGAAGCCCGATCGCCGCACACTTGACAGAGATCTTCAGGTTGACGTTTGCGAACCTGGAGGAAGGTTGAATAAATTCAATTGTACTACAATAGAATAGTTTGAAGTGTTTTTTTCATCACAGCTGAGTAACATATTTTCTAAAGTTCAGTACGAAATGCTTTCTTAAAAGTGCTTTGTATTTCTTATAATAATAATGAAAATATATAAGAGTATGACAAATAATTGTAACGAAATCCAGCAGAATTATTAAAAACTGACCCTGATAACATATATTCTTATAAATAAATAAAATGAAGTTCTATATTTATACTTTATACGCCTGATTGGATGCAGTTACCACTCTCAACCAAAGAATGCCTTCAATTTTTTTGCGGACATTGGTTCTGGAAAGAGAGACACTTTTAGAGCCGTGTGATTTGGCAAAGAAATATAATTTATAGTAACAAATTATCTGCGCTCATGTTGCTATCGTAGAACGTTTGTAAACGTTTTTTGATATTTGTGACAAAACAACTTTTTTGTAATATTTACTTCTAACAAGAGGTACAAAATGATAGGATGAGTAATATTAGCTACACATACCTCTGGTCCTTTATTTTCACCGCCTTTGCTTTTCTTTTTATCCGAAGAAGTTTTTTGTAGTTTTCTTTTATTGCTATCCGGTTTTTCAATTTTAATATCCGGTTTTGACTCCTGTTCTGTTATTTGCATACCTGATATACTAGGTAGAGACTCAGTTTTTGTGTTTTGATTTGTGGGAATAGAGTTGCGTTGATTGGATACGTCAATTTGTAAGTATGCTGGATTACGTGATTCACCACTAGGTATTGACGTGAGGTCGTACTCTTTAATATTCGTGATAGAATTTGGCAAAAATGGAGAAATGGGGGGTATTGAAAACGTCGGCGACGGGAGGGTTAATATTCCCGATGACGTCATTGATGAATATTCCCTGACGTCAGAACAGTTTGACGTAGGTGTAATATTTGGAGGCGGTGGGAGAAATACACCGTTATCGGTAGTGGACACCGGTCTGGACCAATCGTGAAACTGCAAATTTTGATAAGATCCGTTCGGGTGTATTTGTGTATTCCTAGGTTCGTAGCTTTGTTGCATATGCCCGCACGGACCTCGAAAGACTGGGTGACTCCGATGTCCATGTCCCATTTCTGCTCTTTGTTGTTGCAACTGAAAGTTTGAGTAACAACTGGAACATGATGCTGATGCGTGCAGATGCTGACATGCTGTATAATCATTTGAATTCATATTGAAAGTCATTGACTGTAAGATTGTTGAATGAAGAGCACATTCTGGACAAGGAGAGTGGGATAGACTTGGATTCGAACACGGAATCGTTAGAGCAGAGGAAGAACTAGGAGGAACAATAACTCCGGGTTGTTCAACGCAATCAAAATGCGGGTAATGATGAACAGGTGATGGAACGAATTGACTGCTTGCCATCATATGGCATCTGCAGAGTAGCTAGACCTGTAACCTTAAAATTATAAAATCAATATTTTCTTGTTAGACCAGTGGTTTTTAAACTTTTTAAGCACCGCCTCTTTCTAAAATTTGCCAAGTCGCGCCACACCGCTAAAATAAACTAGCTAACGAACGATAAGCTACAAATAACAAATAGTAAGACAAAAATATTTTTCATTAAAAAAGCAGGTTGAAAATACGTGGATGGAATCGCAATCTCTGTCTAAACAATAAATAAATGTAAACATCCAAAATAAGAGTAAGATCAAATCTAACAAAATATTTTTATTTTTGAATAATTTCACGACCCGTCAAAATTTTTTATACACCCCCTCTGTGCAATCAAATTATCTAGCTAATCTAGCTTTCCGATTGAACAATCATAGAAAAAACAATAATTTTGAAAACACGAAGGCAGATTAAGATAAAAAAAAAGATGAAAAATCTTCCTTGGATTTTAAGCTTCCTTTTTTTTTACTTATTATATTGTTCTATTAATTCTAAATTTCGGCGCATCATAAAATTTCGAAATACCTTAGTATTTGATGCACTGTAACCCATCTATTATTTTTACACCACTACCACCGTTCTACAATAAATAAATTGATTTGAAAATTATTTTGAAATATCCAATTCCTCGATAGGACAAATTTTTTAGTTGAAACTGGGTTAAATACATGCGTAAAGTTGTCTCTGACATATTTTGTGGTTTCACCACTGATCAATGAATTTTTGCCTTACACTCGTTACGAAAGTTCAGCGCAGTTTTAATTGCTTGGATTACAGTCACAACATGGATACTACTTAATTCTTCAGACTTCTTCAGACAAGCATTGAAGTCTGACCTCGGTCAGACGAAACGTTACAGAAATATATTTGTGCAGCAGAACTCTTGAATTAAATAAAATTGTCATTTTGACTCTTGCCACAGCATCTTTGCGTTACACGCATACGGATCCACCTGCGCAAAGGCATATAGCAAGGAAAGGTGGTTAGTTTCACGTAACCCCAACTGTTAGCAACATAGATACGGCTGTATATTAGGTATTCATTTCGGCTAAGTCCCAAGTATAGAAAATCCAACGTTAATCTTATAGCCTTCACTATTTCAAGCGATTTGGAATAAGCAAAGCTAAATTTTCTTGTAAATAAAACAATTGTAATAGCTTCTATTCAATATTCACTCCTTGAAGTAAACTATATACCATTAGCTGCTGTTTATACAAAATATTTTTCAAAATGTTCAAACAACTCCGAACGGGCTCAATTCTTTGATAATTTTTACCGAATTTTTGTATAAATAAGCGCCCTGAAAGTATTTAAAATTGTGTATGGTCGTTCTATTTATTCTTTTAATCTCTGCTGACTTTTAGTAAAATATCCGAGACAAAAAAATATACGCAATTTATAATTGTTTATAACTTATCTACTGCTTGGTATAAATTCAACCTGCTACAAATATACATATATTTTTGACCTGAAATATAGATTCCCAAACTATTTATTCTTTGTAAAACAAATCAAGATACATTTGACTTATTTATGTACTAAGTATCCTAATTTTTAAGAACTAACCACATACAGATGAGAGGGAATTTTAAGAAAATGAATGCTATTTTGTGGCTCACTCAAAATGATCTAACACACGACACACAGTATGGAACCCTTGAAAAATCAGCTCCGATCGAAATGATTTAGATTCTACTGTTTATACAAGTACAGTTCATTACAGGTTTGGTATTTTTAACAACAACCATAACACGTACGATGTTAACCGCTTTCTCGCGAAGCAAACCATCGTAAATAAAGATTTGCGCACGAGTTCAGTTTCTGTTGTCAAATCAATCTTCATTTTAGATAAAGATTTCAACAAGTGATAAAGTGTAATTAAGAAATCCCAGAAAAGCTACCGGAATTATATAGTAATAACGATTGTATGAAGGGGTGTATGACTAGGTTAATAATATGGAGGGATATAGTTCTAATTGGTACGGTACGATTAGTATAATGTGTTAATGCTTGTCAAAGTTTTGACAGAAAGAAATCTCATGCATATGTAAATAAAACTGAAGCCCTATGTTGAAATAGAGAGTGGAATTGTTCTACATTAATTTAGAGCAAACCATTTACAGCACAAATGGTGGTGTATGGGATAGGAATGAATGTATGGTGCTCACTCATTGGCTGGCGACTTTCTCTGTAGATAAGATAGTGCAATGCTACACTATATCTGAGCAGTAATTTAAGCTTAGTTGAGTGCCGTCGTAGATAGGGATTGAGTGTCTGACCTCCCTTTCAAAATGAAAACAAAAAGAATTTTTCTGTATCATATATAGCAATTTTTCGTAGTTTGAAACGCTTTTTAGACCCCTTAAGACTATTAAAAATTCATTTTTTCTGGCCTCCGCCTGCTAGCTGATATGATAAAATTGACAATTAGAATTTCAGAACCCCTCGCTTTGAAAATTCTTGGCTGTGCCCCTAGACGAGTGTTCTGATAATTTTAGCTACGTTTTCTAAAATACCCAAAATGTATATATACACTTTCATTTAAATGCACAATGCAAATCCGAAAACTCATAATCAAATAAAAAGGTTATGAAGTTGAAAGCAATATACTATTTCACTGGTAAATGGGACGTTGATAGCCTGGGTCCAGACTACAGACTTCATTTCAGCGAGATATTCAAGTGTAAATAAACATCTCCCGAGACTAAAATATTTTAACGAAAATTATATTTGCGTTTATATTGACTTTCCTAGTCTCCACGTATCAAACTTTTGCACATGAGGGACAGTGCTCTCTCAAAACTGAAACGATCAATAACTAAAACTGAATTCAGCTATATTTAAAAAATTGTCATATATAGTACTGACAGAATCCTGAGTTATAATGTATAATTGTACATATTTTAAGATAATTTCGCTCAATGGCAACTTCACCTTCACAAGTGAAAATCCGGAACCAAATGGATATCCACATTTGAAGTTACGCGAGCCTAACTACCTATGCCATTTCTCTGTTGGCAATCTGTATGCCAATAAAGAAAAAAACTTTCCAAGCAGCGCACCCTTTCTAGAATTTGTCATGTCCCGCGCCCACCTCAAAAATAACTAGCTAACAGTAAGTTACAAATAACAGATAGTAAGGCTAAAGAATGTTTTATTCAAAAAGCACGTTGAAAATACGTGGATGGAACGTAAATAATGAAATAAATGAAAAGTTCTGAAATGTGAATATCCAAAATGAGGCCGACGAGATCAAATGTAACAAATATATTTACTTATATATTAGCTTCGAGCGTCTACGTCTCCCTTGTGGGACGCGCCCAACCGTTTGAGAACTGGATTAGAAGAAACGTTGCAGTGATGTTATATCCATATTAACTTTTTGCAAGACTGTTGGAGCAAACCAAACGGATGTCGTCGATTTTATTGAATCTTAAATTTTTATGTAATAATAGACGTCACATTTACTGACGTGAATTTGTGTGAGGTTTTACAGTTAACAGGAAAAATATTTATATGCTTTTATATCGGCATGTTTTATGAGCTTTGCAAAATATGCTAAATATTATTTGATGTAGATACCACCATAGTTTATGGGAATTACTACTATAAAGCCCTGAATACAATTTTAATATAGAGCTGCAAATTAATTTTTTCTAGTGCGTTCAATCAGCTATCAAAACAAAATCCAATGTAATCTTCAATAGAGCTCATTAAGATGAATCAAGGGTTCTCTTTTTATATATTTATATACAAAATAACTCAAATTAAGAATATTGATGCCAAAATTACAGTTGAATTAACTGTTTTATTATTTGAATACACCGCAATATTAAGGAACTGCTGTTCTATAATAGGTTATAAAACAAACACAAATATTTCCAAGAATATTATATATTTTATACGTTTCATTGCTTGCGTGACTTAGTAAAAAATAAAAAATTATATAAGCATTTCATCTTTGCTGTATTGTAACAAAACACATGTAATTTTGAAATTAAAATGTACGAAAAGATTAATCATTTCTTACATAAGTGTCAGGGTAGCTCTCCCAAAATTCTTCAGCGGGGATCTACAAACCCACATTCATTGTTCCAATACAGTGGTTCTCAAACTTTTTATGCCGCTCCCCTTTTTAGATTTTGTCGAGTCTCGCGCCCCACCTCAAAAATAACTAGCTAACAAGAAGTTACAAATAATAAATAATAGGGGCGAAAGTATGTTTTATTTAAAAAACACGTTGAAAAAATGGAACGTAAATAATGAAACAAATGATGTTTTGAAATACGGCCATGATCAAATCTAACAAATATTTTTATTTTTAATTAGCTTTAATTAGCTAAAAGAGAGTCACACGTATTCGATTATGATAAAAGCTGTTCTGTTTTTGAGGCTTTTTAAGCTCCCAAGCTTCTTTCCAATTTCAGATAAAGAAATTCGATTTGGGTATAATTTTACCAGGCATTGGCCAAGTTATCTCTGACAAAAATCATTCTCCACACTCCATATTTTCAATTTTTGTGGAAACCTTGATATTGAAATACATATTACATATTTCAAAGTGCGAGCCCAATGTTTCAACATTATCTGAATATCTTACAATTTAGTAGTAGGCCATACTTCAAATTACTGGAAAGATTATTTCAAGAACAAGCAATCTCAATGACATAATATGATTACATCATCTTTTACCTTTTCCTGATATTAATAGACGCATATTAGATAGCGTTGTTTAATTCAACATTACAATACAATTCTTATTTCATTAATTTGTTTTACTCAATGTTTGAGTGGTATATGTTTCACTGTTATCAAGACAAACACAAACGAACATAAGACAGGTGCAGGGAAGGACACTGATTCATAGGTTTTGGTCAGTGCTCATTGCCTCCCTTTGGTTGGAATTTTTATGAAAATAACTAAATTGTCTAATGACCTGACATGGGCACTACGATAACTACGGTTCGCGGGCCAAATCCGACCCGTTGGGTGATTCAATCTGT